GGTTCGGACCCCTTACGGGACCCCGAACGCCCATACGGTACGGAGGTCTGCCCGGGGACCTCCGTGTGACCTCCGTACGTATGGGCTGGTGACCCTGGTCACAAAGGTATCAGAGCACAAAAGCCAAAAAAACAAAAGGAAACAAAAAAGATATCAATTCATTTTATATATTCACCAATTCGTGGTAGCTGAGGTAGATCCCAGGGCTCGATCCCTAGTTCCCCAACTTACCTGTGTACAATACCTGCGTCAACTCGAAGAGTTGAACCTGCGACCTGTAGAACCGCCAGTGGTAGGTAGGTCTGTTGTAGGTCGATAGGTAGCCAGGATTCGATCCGTAGACCTATAGACTAGAAGGCTAGCTGCAGTCCTTCTAGAAGGTTGGCAAGTGGTCAAGTGGTGCAGGCAAGTGGTCAAGTGGTGCAGGCAAGTGGTCAAGTGGTGCAGGCAAGTGGGCAAGTGGTGTGACTAAAGCAGGGTCGTCGTCATACAGTCAAGGGAGAGTCTAGAAAGTACCAGTCCGGTCCAGCAAGTACCACGGGGGGAACTGTGTGCACCATGGGCCAGGGACACAGCTGTCTCTTATACACATCTAGATGTGTATAAGAGACAGTCACAAGCCAGCAAAACATCCACGAAACAAAGAAAGGTCTGTCACAGCCAAAAAATACACTCCAGACACGCCGCTGGCACTAGAGGCACAGCATGGCCGCCTAGTTACGGCCCCGACCACTGCCGCTCGACCTGACCGGAAAAAACCGTAGCAGGAAGCTAGCGAAGTCGTAGTATATATCGTCACAAATAGAACTGCCCCGTAAACCGTAGGCAAAGAGAGAGAAGAGGACAACAAACGAGGGGCTGTGACAAACTGTTTCCTCTTATATATATATGTATTCACAGAAAACGTAGATTCAAGTGTTGAAACTTGAAATTCATAACATGCACAATGACATGTATTGATAATGCAATCAAACAGAAACATTGGAAGGGGTGAGAAGGAGGAGGAGGAGGCGGCAGAGGAGGAGAATGGGGAGGAGAAAAGGAGTAAGAAGAAGAGGGAGTAGAAGAAGAAGAAGACCGAGGAGGAGATGACATCAAGAGGGAAAGAGCCTCTGGTAAACCCAGGAAAAACAGCCTGCAGTGGCCCTCACAGTTTTTCCCGAAATAGAAACAGCCTGCCAGTGGGAGCATTGTCCACCGCAATCACTACAGTAACTCTGCCAAACCACAGTTGGCTTTATAACTTCAAAACATCATTTACAGTAACTCTGCCAAACCACAGTTGGTTTCATTACTTCAAAACATGATTTACTGAAGTTACCATTTTCTGAAAGTTTGTCCACTGTTACTGACATCTGGAGGGGCCGTGTTAAAAAAAAAAAAAAAAAAAAAAAAAAACAGAACAAAAAACAAAAAAGAAACATCATACCATTGCACCTATACTTAGGAACCACTGCAATAGACAGAGAGTCCCCATCCACAATCCTCCTCTATTATTACTCTATCTAACCTACTCTACAATTTAAAAAAAAAAAAAAAAGAACAAAAAATCAAAAAACACTACTCTACAATAGGCCTAAGGCGCCCCCCACCCCCCCCTCAAGCTCCCGGCAAGTACTGCCCCGCCCGGCAGACCACAGCTCCAATACCTACTGGCGCTCACTGAGTGCCTGACAGTGTGCCTGGTTATTAAACTGGCATAGTTCAAAAAAAAATAAAAAATGATGATATCTCAAGGACGTTGTCCACTTCCAAAAAAAGACGGAAAAAGAATAGAAAAGGGGGGCAAAAAAAAAAAGAGAGAAAGCAAATGGAAAAAAAAAAGAGAGATGGGAAAAAAAAGAGAAAGCAAATGCGAAAAAAAAAGCAGACTACTTGAACCCTTTGTTGCAGTTCGGAGCAAATGCGAAAAAAAAAGCAGACTACTTGAACCCTTTGTTGCAGTTCGGACTCGTCAATGCTGTCTGTCGTAGAAGTAAGGGCATACTCACACTAGCACTTTCCTAAATGAATCGGACTGCATTTCCAACCAGACCGGGATGGATCTGATCGCAATCACATCCAGATCAGTGTGGAAAAAGTCGTAGTGTGGGAGTACGTCCTAAGAGGACGTTAACTACGTGTAAGGAAGGGCGTACTCACACCAGAAGCTGCTCCTAATAAAATCATTGCAATGCTGCGAGTGAACCTGGCTCTGATCGCCGTCACATGCACCCGCTGTTTTTTGGACCTGTCTACAGTCTTTTTTGGACCGGTCTACAGTCTCTAAGGAAGGGCTCTTAGCGCAAGCTCTCTAACTGAAAAAAAAAATGCCTTCGACACTACCCATAGGACAGTATAACCTCAGTTCGCTTAAACCACCAGTACCTCCGAGC